GCTGGGCCTGCTGGGCCGCGCGGCCACCGCCCCTTATAGCCTCCGCCCCGCCCCGCCCCGCCCCCGCCCCGCCCCCAGCGCCTTTTGTTCTAAATTCTGCCCGCCGGCCCGGCGGCGGCCAGCGTGGGGGAGGTGGCCGGGAGGGGCGGGCCTGGCGCGGCCGGGGGCCCGGGGACCCGCTCCTGCCGGGGGTCCGGGCTGAGCTTGCGGCCTCACACCTGTGGACTGAGTCGCCTTGTCCATTTACTGCTGCCGTGCGCCTCAGTTTCCCTCGGGGCGGTGGGGAGAGGGCGCCGAGTGGGGTTTCACGCGTCCCGTCCCTATCCCTTACTTAACCTCTCTGGCAGGCACGTCCAGGACTGGTCTCTCCCCGCCGTGGCCCGAATGCTGATCTGCCAATCTCCGACTGGCGCGTGCACCCCCGCCGCACAGTCTCCCCACACCACAGAGCCTGGGGGGAATGCATCTGGGAGCCGGTCCCTTGAGAAAAGAGAGTGTAAATTCTGTCCCAGGGGAAACTGACACAAATGGAGGTGGCTCTCCAGCTCCCCAACTTGTAACAGAACCAGCTTCTGAATGGGCCCCTGGCAAGTCAGCCAAGGAACCCAGTTTGGCTTTCCCATCCTGGAGGGACTGTCCCTACCCAGGAGGCCCTGCAGCGAATCCACTGGAAGGAGGATGCTCAGAAGATTGGTGGGGGAGAGGGGGTGGCCACAGCTGGTTGGGGGCACTGGGGCTCAGGCTCACCTTTGGACAGGAGACAACATGCTTCTATGGGTCCCTGGGCAGACCTCCTGAGACCCAGGGAGATGATGCTAGCAGGGGTCACCCTATCTCACTGACCACTCTGTGAATACCAGCAGCCTGCCCTCCACCTCCCTCAAGAAACTGCTCTACCACAGGCCGCCCCACAGAGGCCAATGCAAGCAGTGGCTCCTGTCCTGGCGGCAGTGTCCTGAGCTACTGCATTACAAGGCTCCGGGCGACTGAGAAGGAAGGAGGCCAGGAGGCAGGAGCCAGCCAGCAGGCTGACTTCACGAAGTTTTCTGGGAGTCCCATCCCTGGGAAAGCTCCGCAGAGACTCCTGGAGGCCAGGAGAGGGAAGACAGCAGTACTTCTACAGTTTGGACTGTTAGCCATCCTCTTCTTTCAAGTGACTCTCTTTTCAAGTTGAAAGGCTTAATGCTCACCAAAGCAGCACCTACAGTAAAACTGGAATGACAGAGATTATCATGTGCAAGGTGTCACACAGACTTGTGAATGTCCTGTAAGAATAAAATAAAATGGGGCTGGAGCAATAGCACAGCGGGTAGGGCGTTTGCCCTGCACGCGTCCAACCCAGGTTCGATTCCCAGCATCCCATATGGTCCCCTGAGCACTGCCAGGGGTAATTCCTGAGTGCAGAGCCAGGAGTAACCCCTGTGCATCGCCAGGTATGACCCAAAAAGCCAAAAAATAAAAAAGAATAAAAGTTCCAGAGAGATGGCTCAATCATCTAAGCGTGTGCCTTAGAGGTGGGAAGCCTGACTTCCACTCCTGGCACTGTGGCACCACATGGCAACCCCAAACACCATCTGGGAGAAATCCCTGAACACAGAGCTTGGGGTAGCCCCTGAGCATTGCAAGGTGTAGCTCCCAAACAAAAACAAATCAACAAAGCCCCCCCAAAAAAAACTAACAAAAAGAATCTTAAAAATAATTTTTCAATGAAATGCCTGCTTCATCCTGTTTTTTAATAATTTGGTCAAGAAATCATGAGGCTCAGGAAGGATGGCTCAGTTGTTCAAGTGGCTTTGCAAGACAAGGTCATGAGTTGATGCTCAGTGCCAACCACATTCACCAAGTGGTCCTGGAGCCTCTGGCACTGCTCTGGACGGTTGGCACTACACAAAAATGTGTGATGTCCAGCACAAAGTCAGGTATGTGTGAACACATCTATAGTGTGTGGCCTCCGGTTATTACAACAATAAGGGAGGCAGAGAAGAAAGCACAGATATGATGGGCTGGATATGAGCCTTTATGCACATGAGGTTTTGGGGTTTTACTCCTGGCTCTGTGTTCAGGGATAACTCCTGATAGTGCTACAGCGATCATTTGCAATGCTAGAGATCAAACCCAGGTCAGCTGCATGCAAGGCAAGTGTCTTAACCACTATGCTATCTTTCATCTTACCTAAGTGCCTTAACCCCTATATTATCTCTCTCTTTCAGTTGTACTAACTCTCTGACCAGAGAATAATTCTTTTTTTATTTTTCATTTTTTGCTTTTTGGGTCACACCCAGCGATGCACAGGGGTTAGTCCTGGCTCTGCATTCAGGAGTTACTCCTGGCAGTGCTCAGGGGACCATATGGGATGCTGGGAATTGAACCTGGGTCGGCTGCGTGCAAGGCAAATGCCCTATCCACTGTGCTATCAATCCAGCCCCAGAGAATAATTCTTTTGTTTGTTTGTTTGTTTGTTTGTTTTGGAGGGGGCACACCCAGTGATGCTGAGGTGTTATTCCTGGCTCTGGATTCAGAAATTACTCCTGGTGCTCGGGAGACTATATGGGATACTAGGATTAAACCCGGGTCAGCCACATTCAAGGCAACCCCCCTACCATCTGTACTATTGCTTCAGCCCCTGGATAATAACTGTTTAAGTAAAAACATTTTTGCTTGTTGCATTTCAGCTTTAAGCACCTCTGGCAGTCACACAGCCTCGCCTGGAGGAATCTGCAGCCCAACCCTCATGGAAGCTGAATTAACTACCACTCACAGTGAGCGCAGTGGTGGAGGGCCTGGATTACCAGTCAGCAGTGCACCCAGAGAAGTGGGCTTCTCACAGCTGACTTTTCTGCCGGCGAGCCATCTGGATCAACGGAGAAGGATGGGTCTGTGTGACACACGGGCACTGGGGAGAAAGGGACTGCACAGGCCCAGGGGCTGGTATAAACTTGTCAAATCTGGGAGGAGAGGCTGATTGTTCACACGTGCTGGCTTCCCACTTCACAGAGAAGAAACCTGCGGCCAGCTCAGGCTGAGGTCAAAGGAGGGCCCTGCCTCCCAGGCAGGCTGAAACCCTTTGTAGTAAGAACTCAGCAGTACATATTCACGTCCCGGGTGAGCTCCTCAGGCACACACACAGCAGAGTGCCAGGCCCAAGGCCAGACCCAACCCAGCTGGTGGCCTCCTCCCCACTTGATATCAAATCCTGTCTCATTCTCCAGGGCTTTCGTTTTGAGGTGATGTCACACCACACCGTTCCTGATGCCAGACAGCACAGGGGATGGGAAGGGAGAGAAATCAGGGCAGAGGCTGAAGCAATAGAACACTTGCCTTGCATACAGCCCACCGCGTTTTGATTCCAGACCCACATATGGCCACCTGAGCCTTGTCAGGAGTAATTCCCTGAGTGCAGGGTCAGGAGTAATCCCTGAGAATTGCCAGGTTATGGCCCAAAAATTTAAAAGAAGAAGGAGGAGGAGGAGAAGAAGGAACGAGAAGGAGGGGGAAGAGGAGGAGGGAGAGGAGGAGGGGAAGGAGGAGGAAAAGGAGGAGGAGGAGAAGGAGGAGGAAAAGGAGAAAAGAAGGAAGAGGAAGAAGGAGGAGGAGGAAAAGGAGGAGGAGGAGAAGGAGGAGGAAAAGGAGAAAAGAAGGAAGAGGAAGAAGGAGGAGGAGGAAGAGGAGGAGAAAGAGGAGAAGGAGAAGAAGAAGAAGGAGGAGGAGGAGGAGGAAGAAGAGGAGGAAGAGGAGAAAAGAAGGAAGAAGAAGGAGGAGGAGTAGGAGGAGAAGGGGAAGAAAAGAAGAAGAAGAAGAAGAAGAAGAAGGAGGAGGAGGAGGAGGAGGAGGAGGAGAAAAGAAGGAAGAAGAAGAAGGAGGAAGAGGAGGAGGAGGAGAAAAGAAGGAAGAAGGAGGAGGAGGAAGAGGAGGAGGAGGAGGAGGAGGAGGGGGAGGAGGAGGAGAAAAGAAGGAAGAAGAAGAAGGAGGAAGAGGAGGAGGAGAAAAGAAGGAAGAAGGAGGAGGAGGAAGAGGAGGAGGAGGAGGAGGAGAAAAGAAAAATCAGGGGAGGGCTGGGGGTCAGGTGGGATTTGTGTGGTTGGGCATATGTATAGCTACTGCCAGACCTAGAGCTTCCTCCACAACACCGCATGGCCCCCAAGCACTGCAGTCCTAACTAATGACACTAACAAGAAGCAGTGAGGGCAATAACATAACCGGTGCCACGTGTTCCTGAACCACAAGAACAACTGGAACCCCTCCCCCCCAGATTCAAACCAGTGCTCAGTTTGATCCGAGTGGCACAGCCGCCTCTAGACACCCAGGACCTGGCGGTTGGGGCAGAATCAGTACTTCGTACAAGCACCGTACCCTGGGGTCCCGGGGTGAGTGATAGGCCCTCCCCGGTGTGCCTGCGCTTGACTCCAGCACGTTTTGGACAGCGCCGAGCGGAGGCGGGGTTCGGGGTGCCCCCTGGCGGGCGCCTTGAAGACTGGCCATGAGGGTTTTCCCTGGGACACTTCTTAGCCCTAGTTCCCCACTCACACCCGAGCTTGGCAGGACGCCGCAGGGTAGTCAACCCTGGCAGCTAAGATCGGAGCGGGGAGGAGCGGAGCGGGGCCGGCTGCCTGGGGCCCACCCCTCGACGGCCTCCCAGAGCCCCCAGTGCCTTCTCCCGGGAGCTCGGAGAGCACCCAGCTCCCATTCCTTCCCCGCCACCCGCGGCCGCGACTTTGTAAGCGTCCAGCCGTTGCCTGTGCGTTAAGTTTCTGGGCACGCTGCGGGCCGTGGCCTGTGTTCCCCGGGCGCACGGTGTTCGGGCCAGGCGCTTGCCAAGGGCAAGGGGTTAAGATTTGCAGCCCAGGCCAGAACGGCGAGCGGGGTGACGACGCTGGAAGGGACGACAACCGGGGTTCTGCGGGACCCAGCGGCGGCCCGAGCCGCCCAGCCCGAGCCCCGCCCCGGGGGCCGTGCCCGAGGCCCCGCCCCCGGCCCGCGCCTTGACAAGCGCCGCGCGGCGCGACCCGGGCATTCGCGCCGCCGCCTCGGTGGACAGAGCTCGGCCTGACCGCCCGTCCGCCCGTCCGCAGCGCCGTGACCATGCCCCGTGGGAGCCGCAGCGCCGCCGCCCGGCCGGCCAGGTGAGTGGCCCGGGCCCCGCGGGCTGGGCGCGGGGAGCGCGGGGCGCGCGGCCACACTCCGGGGACGCGGGCCCGGGCTTGACCTTGGAGGCTGCCATCTTGGCTGGGGGGTGGCGCCCCGCACCCCGCGGCCCCGCGCCCGGCTGACCCGGCTGCCCCCTGCCCCCGCCCTGCCCCGCAGCCGCCCCGCCGCCGCGACCTCCGCGCACCTGCCCGCGCGCCCCCCGCCCTCGGCCGCCGCTCCGGCCCCCGCCCCGTCGGGCCAGCCGGGCCTCATGGCGCAGATGGCATCCACGGCCGCGGGGGTGGCCGTGGGCTCCGCGGTGGGACACGTCGTGGGCAATGCGCTGACCGGAGCCTTCAGCGGGGGCAGCTCGGAGCCCGCCCAGCCCGCGGTTCAGCAGGTGAGCGACTGGGGGGTCGGGGTGGGCGGGTGTGCGTGTGTGCGTGTGTGCGTGCGTGCAGGGGTGCGTGCCATGGGCCCAAGGCTTTGCCCCAGGGCCGTCCTGTCCTTCCCTGCCTCGGCTTCCTCACCAGCGGGTTCACCTTCCCTTCACGAGGCCAAGGTTCCTAGACTTCCCGGGACAGGTGCCAGCTGCGCATGGGGAAACTGGGGCTCAGAGCCTTGCTCAAGGTCATGGAATCCGGGCACGGAGGAGGGGTTTTCAAGTTCCTGCCTCCCGCTCACCGTCGTCGTCCCCCCCCACCCCAGGACCCAAGGGTCAGAGGTGCTCCCTGTTGCCCTCTCCCCTGCTGGATGCCTGGCGACCTCCTCCCTAGCCCTGAACCAACTGTGGACTTGGTGGTGGGGTCATGAGGATCAATGTGGCCGAGCCCAGAAAGTGCTGGAACTTGTGGGAGGGGGGCTAGACTCCAAAAGCACATGCAGAGCGCTGGGTTTTTCTCGTGCCTTCTCCCCCCCCCACCCACCCCCCAGTTGGAGGCGTCAGGGAATCTGCCAGAGCCAGCTTTAGCAGAGCGTGGGCTTGCCTTGTCTCAGGGTGAAGCAGCTGAGTTTGCTGGGGGGAGGTGGGGAGGGGGCAGGCAGTCTGGGCTCTGGAGTCCACCTCTGGGTGGCAACTGCCAACTGACATTGCGGTTGTCCTGCGCTGTGTCCCAGGCCCCTGCCCGTGCTGGCCCTCAGCCCCTGCAGCTGGGGCCCTGCGCCTATGAGATCAGGCAGTTCCTGGACTGCTCCACCACGCAGGGGGACCTGTCCCTGTGTGAGGGCTTCAGCGAGGCTCTGAAGCAGTGCAAGTACAACCACGGTGAGTCAGCGGCCCCTGACCCTCCCAAGATGGGTCGGGGTGAGGCGGGGGGGAGGGGCATCCATTTTCCTGCCCCTGCTGGGACTGACCACGTGCCTGTGCCCTCCCTCCTTCTGCAGGTCTCAGCTCCCTGCCCTGAAGAGGCTGCAGCAGCCTTGTGCCCACCCGTGGGCCAGTCCTGTACCCCTCTGTACCCCCTCACCGGCAGCAGGATGCTGATAGCAGATTGTACCCAAGGCACTGGGATTGGGAGTGAGTTCCTTGTCCTATAGATGACCCGAGACACAAATGTGCAATTAAAAGAGTTTATTTTAGACTGGAACCTGCTGTGTGGACTCTGTATGGTCTGTCACGCACCCTGGACGACAAGGTGGGTGTACTGGGTTGGCTGGTGCCCAACAGGGTGGGAGTCCCCCTGAAGCTGGTGCTCTGGGTAGCGAGGGGGAACCTCCGCTGTGATTGATCCCCAAGGTCATGGGACTGGGGGCTGGAGTCCCAGGCCCCCTTGTCTCCCCCTCTGCTCTCTGCCTCTACTTTCCTTCCTCTGGGGGAAGTCCCCTGGTGCCCTCCCCACTGCAAGGCTTGTCTGAGGTCCTGGCTGTGACCTTGTCTGTCCTGCTGATGTAACTTCTTCGTAAGTCCAGATTCTGCAAGAGGAGCCCTGCTGGTACAGAGTTGGCATGGGCCGGATTGGAGGCAGAGTTCACGGTCAGCCCCTGCGGATGTGGATCCAACTCTGCCACTTGGCACAGGGTGTCAGGTCACGAGGCCTGCTGGGACAGAAAAACAAGCCCTATCGGTCCAGTGTAGACCAGGCCATCGCTGACTGGGCTAGGCCTTTCCTGAGTTCCTTCCATAGCTCTGCATCAAGCTCCTCCTGTGTGCCAGGCCCCTGTCACCTCCTGGACACTAAGGACAATCGGAGGCCTTGAGTAGTCCCACTGTTCTGGGGGTTGGTAGGGAAGGTCCACGTTCACTGGTTCATCCTTTCGGTGCTCATGCATGCTGGGAGGGATTGGGCATCTCTCTGCACACGTGTTTGTCCCCGGGGGATGGGCACCACTTCTTGGTGTGAGTGTGACCCCAACTATATGGCTCCTAGCTTGGCAGGAAAGCACTTGCCTAGAGGAGGCTCGGGACTGAGTTCTGTCCCTGGCACCGCAAACAAATCAACAAAACATACCTGGCCTCTGGCGGCAGCTACCGGGCCTCGGACGGCAGGGAGCCCATCCTTCGGGACTATGAGGGGAACCTTGCTCCTCGTGGCCCGCCGAGCTCCAGCACGCCTCCTCCGTGCCTCCCCCAGGGAGGGCAGCCCCGACAGCCAGCGCAGCTCCTCTGAGTGGTGCAGGAAGACCTGCCCGTGAGGGGGGGGGTTGACGCTGCCCTCCCTGCCACGGGGCTCTGCGGGTCCCTCACCTGCCAGCTCTGGGTGGCTGTCCTCCAGGTTCTCCAGCAGGGACTCGTAGCGGGTGGGTGCCCCTCCCTCCCCCACTGTGGAGGGAGAAGATCCAGTCGGACTCACTGGGGGTTCCCCCACCCTGACCGCTCACCCCAGACTTGTGGGACAGCCCAGCGGGGGTCAGGTTGGCACATTGGGCTGGAAGCAAGAGTGCTAGTTCTTGGCCCAAGCGGAGGCTGCCAGGGCCTTGGGTGACCCTGGCTATTCACCCCCCAGCAGAGATGCGTGGGCCCCACTTACTGATGACCTGCACAAGGATATAAGTCCCCCGTTCCTGCAGCAGGGAGCTGCCCATGGTGGGGGCCTCGGACGCACCCTCCTCTGCGCTCAGGCTCACCAGGTGCCCATCCTCAGCCAGGAGGGCGATGGTCGCTGGGCGCAGAGGCAGGGAGAGAGGCGGGACATGGTTGGCACCTCTGCCCAGTGGCTCTTGTCCCCTCCTCTCATGCCCTCCACCCTGCCACCTCACCATCCGGGGGCACCTGCCCCCTCTGCTTCAGGTGGGTTTTGAGGGTCACCAGGTTGCACCAAGGGTTCACCAGCTCCCTGCAGCCAGCTGTGGGGTGGGGGTGGGGCAGTGGTAAGTCACTGTTTTCAATCCCAAAGCTTCTGTCCCTTCCATCTTGTCCCTCACGAAAGCAGGGACTGGGGCTAAGGGATTGGACTGGCACCCCATCCCTGGTCTGCAGAGAGGAGAGTGACCACTTTCGACTGCACATGCCTCTCACCTTCAGCTCCAGCCCTGCCTTTCCGGGGCCCCTCTGCAGCCCCCGCTTCTCTCTAAAAGGTCAGGAACCGGCAACCGTGGCTCAAGCTTCAGATGCCTAAATGCGCGTGAAGCTTGAGGATCTCTGACTGCGTGTAGCTCCTGTCCTGCACCGCCCCTGGGGACACAGACAGTTCAAAGGGCTGGAGCACACGCTCTGGATGCAGGAGGGCTGGGCTCCTTTGCTGGGAACCATGCCGCCCCCAAGCATTTCCAGCAGAAGCTTCCTAGTATGGAGCCTAAACTTGCTCCTGAGCGGGACTAGGTACTAGGTATGGTCTCCAAACCAATCCCTCCCCCTAAATCAACAAAACAACCCCCACCAACAAAACCTCAGTCTGATGAACTTCCCGGGACCCACCCTGCTTCCCCCCTGCACTACCTCCCTCCTTGACTTCTCCGCCACCTACCCGGACAGAGGGGGACAAGCCTCTCCTCCACCTCGATCTGCTGGGACGGAGCCCCTCACTTACCTCCAAACATCACTGTGACAAACATGGTGCAGGCGAGGCAACAGATGTGGGGGGAGTTGGTGTCCCACTTCACTTCCCTGCTGAAGAGGCACCTGGAGCGGAGATACCTTCCGGGGTGGGGCCAGGCTGGGAGATGTGTGTGTGTGAGGGACAGGGTGGTGACGAAGGGTCTTCTCAGCCTAGCGGGGTCCCTCCTGCTCACCAGGTACCCTCAGCCTTCTCTGGCTCCGGCTGCCCGGGTCAGAGGCCCTCCCAGCTTTAGAGCTGGTCTCCATGGCAGTGGGAGCTGCCCAGAGGGCTAGGCAGGAAATGCCTTTCCCAGTCTCCGGGTAACAGGCCGGGAGGGGGCCATGCGCTTTCCCTGAAGCCCGGCCACGCCTCAGCGTCAGGGATGTCCAGGGACCCTGTTGTTGTGGCCCCCCAGGGGAGAGAGCTCCCAGGCTGAAAATCTTAAAACCCAAGAGCCCCCCATGAGCTGATAGAGTCTGTGACTAAAGGCTGAGGTGGGCCTTGCCCACGTTGAAGGTCCACTCCCCTGGGACTCCCTTTCCCCTCCGTTCTCTCTCCCTCTGTCCTCATGTCTTTCTATTTCTCGTCGAGATTATGGAGGGTCTCGCTTTGACGCGTGGTAAAATCTTTCCCTTTCAGTGTTTTCGAGATGAATCTCAGAGTGCGAGTCAGGCTACAGGACATTTTCACACACACCCTCGCCCCAAATCCTTGTTGTCTGTTGATAGCTGACCTCAGAGCCAGCTAGCCACCACTCAGTTTTCTGCCCCTGCCCTTCCCAGAACATTGCAGGAAGGGGATCCTCCGGGCGAAGTCTGTGGGGGTCTCATTTCTGCCCTGTGCGCACTGCTCTTGGGATGCCCACAGCTGCCTCCGAGTATCCCCTCTTCCCACTGAGGAATGTTCCGTGGCCTCTCGCTCATCCATCTTGCTCTGTTTGGGGCTGTTGCCAGTCTCAGTGATTATACATAAAGTCAACACAGTCAAGCACCTCGAGGTGGATGTGTGAATACGTGTTTTTGTTGCTCCAGAGCAAATACCCTGAGAGAACTGTGGGTCATCTGGTGGACGTATGTTTAACTGTGTGAGAGAATGCCCTGTTGACTGGGCTGTGCACCATTCTTGCCTTGTCCCCTTTTCTGGCTGTGGTGGGGTGCCCTATTTCTCTCTCTCCTGCTCTCCTGTTTCTCTCCATCTTGCCTTGTTCTCTATTTACTTGTCTCTCTTTCTGACCCTTTGTTCTCTTCCTGTCCCTGTGTTCCCGCTTGAACTGTTTCTCTGCTCCTCAAGCCTCTGTTTATGCTTTGACTTTTCTCTCTCCTTTCTTCTTCATTACATTTCTTCCTTCCTGCCTTCCACCTCCCCCCCCTTCCTGTGTTCTGTCCCCTCTCCATGATCCCCCACCTCTCTCTGGCCATGAAGCTCGGTGGGTGTGGGGTGTCCCTCTCTGACAGTTCCCTTTGCCCTAAGGTTCTGCAGTGAGGAGGGAGGCAGAATAGACCCTCCGTGCTGCTCCCCAGTGCTGTTCTCCACCTCTGGAGAATCTTTCCTCAATGCTCCCATCTGGCAGATGGGGGAGAGAAAACGTAGCAAGGATGTTGTGAGGAAAACACTCGATAACACTTTTTTTTATTTTTGGGGGGCCACATTGGTTATGCTGGCAGTAGGGCGACATAGTTCCAGGAGTTGCTTGGGAGATCATACAGTGCCAAGGGCCTGACTGGGGGCCCACTGCCTGTCAGGCATTCACCTTGGCCCCTGTGCTGTCTCTCCGGTCCCATTTGATAACATATTCAAGTGCTACTTTCGTGCTCAGCATGCTTCAGAGCCAGAGCAGTCCTGTAGAAGCTGACTCAGCTGTTCCCACACTTATTCCAACACAAAGGCATGTTCTTCGTAGGGTCCCCCCTGTAGTCAGGGACTGGTGTCCTGCAGCACGCAGCTCAAGAGGGCTTGAAGCCAAGTCTGGAAAGAATCGCCATTCCTGGCCCTGCAGCCCTCACGTTGTCTTCAGAGCCACCAAGGAGTGCTTTGCTTTTCTACCCGGCCTTGCTTAGGGTTCACTCCTCGCTCTGCACTCAGGGCTTAACGGGGTGCTGAGGATTGAATCTGGGCCTGCTGCATGTAAGGCTAGTGCCCTCTTGCTGTTTCTTCTCTCTGGCCACAAGGAGGGTTCTTTTATCATGAGTGCCATAGAGACCCCCAAGGAGGTGTTAGGAATGGAGACAGTCCCATGGAGGGATTTTATAATCTCCTCAAACAAAACTCTCTCTAGGCCATGAGAGAGAGAGTTCAGGGCAGGGGTCCACACCTGGTGGTGCTACTCACGGCTCAGTGCTCAGGGGTCACTCCCCGAGGTACTCAGGGGACTATGTGGTACTAGGGACAGAATCTGGGCTTCATGCAAAGCATGCACTCTGTCCTTTGAGCTATCTCTCTGACTCCAAGGAGCGGATATAGGTAATTAGGTTATGATTTAGATTTGGAAAGACCATTAGGATAGGAGATGGTTGCCATTAGGATGGTGGTTCTTACAGATCCCAAGTGGAGGGGACATAGCATGAGAAAAAAAAAAAAGAAAAGAGAGTTAGATAATATAGCAGATAAGGTGTTTGCCTTGCATGTGATTTCATCCCCAGCATCACATATAGTTCCCCAAGTCCCACCAGGAGAGATCCCTGAGCTCAGAGCCAGGAATAAGCCCTGACAACTGCAGGTGTGGTCCTCTCCTTTAAAAAAAAAAAAAGAAGGAGGAGCTGGCATTTAAGTTGGAGTCTCAGTATGAATTGACTCTGAATCCAAGTCAACTTCCTTATGTCTGGTAGATTTAGGAACTGTCCATGTTAATTGTGAGTGAGCACATGAAGTCACTGGAATACTCTTACCTGCTGGTGTGAGTGAGTCTTGGTACAAGCATGCTGGGAGCACCACAGTATCCACTAAAGCTCAGTGTGCCTTCCTACTGCCTGCTGCCTCCACCTCCACACCCGGGTGTCCATACCGCAGAAATACGAACACTGGTGCATCAGAAGACGTTGCCAGGAATGTGTTCTCAGCAGTCTCACTGGCAGGTGAAAGACTAAAGCACACAAAGGTTTAACAACAGGAAGATGGATAAAATAATTGTGGCTTCTCCACACAATGGATATCATGTAGATGTGAGCATGAGTTAAACATTGCTGCGTGCAGAGGCCTTTCAATGCTGAACAAAAGCAGCAGGAACAAACGCAGACATGCTCTCATTCCATTTCTAGTCGACGTTCTAGAGCAAGCAAAAATGGATCTAAGAGGACTTGAAGTCAGGGTAATTATGGAGACATTTGGGGGCGGAGGCTGTTACTGATGGGGGAGGCACAGGAGGGAGAAGTCTGGGGAGATAAAAATGTTCTAAATCTTGATGTGGGTGGAGGCTTCAGGGATATATATATATATATAACATTATATAGGACATATCATCATTATTATATATACATAAAATTATCCACACTTGAGATTTGCACATGTTACAGGATGTGAATCATACCTCAATAGAAGCAGCTCCCCAGTATAACTTTCGGGTTTCTGGGCTCCTGTCTCAGGAATACCCTGTGTGGCCAGGCCAATGATGCTTGGGGAAATCAGGCCTGACTAGTAGGCTCCTACCAGTGTCCCCATTCTCCAGTTAAGAGCTGCTTTGCATGTCTGTTGTGGTCTAGTGGGCTCCCCACCCATATCCGAAGCACCTGGGTCTCTGCCCCACAGAACCACTCTTGCCTGTTCCCGCCTTGGCCATGGCCCACTGGTGTTGGGCACTCCTGACTGGGGCCGCATTGGCAGGTGAGCTCTCCAGGTCCCTGGCTCACCTGGGAGGTGTGGTGGGGAACAACATTTTCCAAAAAGCCTGCTCAAGGAAGCAGATTTTTGTGGTTGGGAGAATGTTCTAGAAGGAACTGAGATGGAGGGGAGAACAGGCTGCAAGTGACTCTGTCCTATACCTGGGGCAAGTCACTTCTCATTGTGGGTCTCAGTTTCCCCATTTGTGACTGACTAGAGAACTGGGATTCCTCCAGACTCTGAGATCTCTGAGAAGACAGGCGCTCATCCCATTTTAACTTTTCGTTTTTCTGGGGAAGCTGTTGTGGGCATGTCCTTACCCTACAGGACCTCAGAGACAACCTCTTGAAGGTCCCCAGCAGCCAGCTGCCTGAAGTTGAACTGAAGGGTGGGACAGCCCATAAGTCTTCTATTTTTTTTCTTTTTGGGTCACACCCGGCAATGCACAGGGGTAACTCCTGGCTCATGCACTCAGGAATTACTCTAGGCAGTGCTTGGGGGACCATATGGGATGCTGGGAATCGAACCTGGGTTGGCTGCGTGCAAGGCAAATGCCCTACCCGCTGTGCTATCGCTCCAGCCCCCCATAAGACTTCTTGGGGGTAGCTAGGCTGTCACCAGGGTTTGGAAGAACCAGTGTGACCAATAGGACAGGGGGTTGCAGGGGGATCAGGTGGGCAGCAGAGGATGCAGAGACTGCCCATGTTCCCTCTGCTGAACTTGAATCCCTACGGGAACACCCGGCTATGAACCTCCTTAGAGTCTGACCAGACCTTTGGGGGAGGGGCAGGAGGGAGGGAGTGCAGCCCAGGCCTAAGCGTGTCTGTCTCTTGCAGTCTCCCAGCCAACCCTATCCCAACCAGATGCACTGCTCGTCTTCCCAGGCCAAAGGGCCCAGCTCTCCTGCACACTCAGTCCCCCCCATGTCACCATTGGAGACTACGGAGTGTCTTGGTACCAGCAGCGTGCTGGCAGTGCTCCACGACTCCTCGTCTACTACCGCTCCAAGGAGGACCACCACCGGGCCGCCGGCATCCCTGAACGCTTCTCAGCGGCCATGGATGAAGCCCACAACGCCTGCATCCTGACCATCAGCCCTGTGCAGCCGGAGGATGATGCAGACTATTACTGCTCTGTGGGCTCTGTGTTCTAGAAACGGGGTATGGAACCGCCTCCAGCCTGCCACTCGCTCCTGCCCTTCACCATGGGCCCCCCTCATTCTCATCAGGCCTGGATTTTCCCTCTCTATGAAATGGGTTAATAATATTCAGTATGTCAACAATGCCTTTTATGAGGACCATGAATTTCCTGCTGAAAAAGTGGTTGTAGAGGGTGTGTGTGTGTGTGTGTGTGTGTGTGTGTGTGCGCGCGCATGCACACCAGGGGCCTGCTGGGGATGGAGGGGTATGGAATCTGGGGTTTAACAGAAGAGGAAGCACCTGAGCTCCTGGGGTGGGGTCCAGGCTCCCCACTGGTCCCCAGAGGGCCCAGGCTGGTGGCCTGGTCTTCCTGTGACCCCAAGAGTTTGAGAGAGAAAAAAGGGAACCAGCCCTTGTGCTCTTCATCCTTCGTGACTGGTTATGGGTCAGTGCTCTGGGGTGACTGAACTGTGTCCCCACGGAGCCCAAGCTGCTTGGGAGACACGTGAATGGGTACAGGCACTCAGGCACCTGGGAGGGGGGTGTGGGTGCTCTCATGGCCGGGGGCAGAGCAGGGTGCATCTGAGGGGCACTGGAAAGAGGGAGGGGTGAAGGGGGCAAATTTTGCGTGTGGGAGCCATGGTTGGGGTGGGGACTGGGGCATTCAGTTGCAAGCCTGTCATCCCACTGGAGGCCGGGCCATGAGAGCCTTCCCTTGGGGCGCCCATCCCAGTCTCTGCGGAGGCCGGGTGGGCAGGCAGGACTAGGACTGCCCAGGGAGGGTGGACCTTAACAGGGCTCCTAGCTGTGGCACCCTTCTCTTGAAGATCTCAGATGCCCCAGTGCCCTCTGGCTTACCCCCACTCCCCAGGGCAAGCACCTCGGGAACTCACTCCCCAGTCTGTCCGCCTCTCCCCTACACTCCCGCCAACGCCGGACCAGTTCTGTTTGCCCACATCCGGGACGCGTTTTGGTGGCATCCCGGAGAATGGCCCCCCCCCCCACCCCACCCGACCTCGTCCTCCCACCCGGCGCGGCGGGAGCACCGAGACGCCCGGACCTCCGTGCGGCCTAGAGCGGTCCCGGAAGTGCCCGCGGGCGGGGGCGGGACTCCGGGCGCCCTGGCGGCCGCGGGCTCCGCGTCAGCAGCCGCGGCGGAGCGAGGCCGCGTCGGCCGCGGGTTGGAGCAGCTCAGGTGCGGCCCCGCCCCTCCCGCCAGCGGCCCCGCCCCGGCCCAGGTGAGCGGCCCCGCCTAGCTGCAGGTGAGTGCCCCGGCGACTGGCGGCGCGGCCGGCCGGCGCTCCCGTGCGCCCGTGCCCGCGGGCGTCCCCCGTCGTGGGAAGCGGGCAGGGGCGCCGGCGTCGCGGGGGTGCGGCCGCTCGCGGGCCTCCCGCCCCGAGACCCGGACCCCCTGACGGCCGGCCCGGTACCCAAGCTCGGGAGGTCCTTGAAGGAGGAGGGGACGGGTGCAGGGGCAGCCCGGGAAGGCTCCGAGAGAGGTGGCAAGCACGGGGCCCCCGACCTCGATTTTTTGATTATACATATATGTTGTATATATGCACATACAAATATATTTAAAACATTGCTGGGGACAGATAAAGGATTGTCAACTTTTGAAAAACCGAGTGGAAGCGTTGACGTGTAGAAGGTCCATGGCAACGAAAACCCCTGAGGGAGGGAAACTTGGAAAAGGCAGGGTTCAGCTAACAGGTGGGTGGTGCAGGGGCTGCATGCTGCTGAAGGTGGGAACAGGTGCATGGAGGTGTGTGTACACGTGTGTGTGTGTGTGTGTGTGTGTGTGTGTGTGTGTGTGTGTAAAACAGGGCATGGGCATGGGGGTACAAACGCAAAGCCTGGAGGATCTGTTAGCTAGGCAAGCTGCGAGCTGTGCAGGGTGTGCCCCCTTCCACCTATCTTCCAGTATTTTCTAGAGGGAGCCAGAAGCCTACTGAGTTTTCAATGCTGGCAGCTCAGGCAGACAGAAAAGAAAAGCCCAGGGCTTGGAGAGCCAAGCAAAGCATGGCTGTGGTAGGATCCCCAAGCTGCCAATTTGCAACCTCCGAAATGAAGGGTTTAAGGCAGGAGGTATCAGTTAGCTGTGCCAGACGGGCTGGGGAAATTCCAGCGGAGAAGAGAGGGCTTGGCAGTAAGGAGGTCATGGGATGCCGGGGCTGAGCCGTGAGTTCCCAGCTGAAACAGGGAGCTGGAAAGCGGTTCTTGGTGCCATCCATCACAGTGGTGATTTTCCTTGGCAAGATTCAACATCGCAGGATGGATTTATCATGGGGGGGGGGGGAATTGGTGGTCCCTGGGTGGTGGCAGCAGGATAAGAAGAGGGACTTACACTAGTCAGAGTTAGTTGAAGGGACACACTGTGTAGGGTGTAAGCTACACAGGAAATGGTGAAAGTAAAGCCAGAAGACGGGGTGAAAATGGAGACTCGGAGGATTTGATGAGGTTGAGGGAGGGAGTTTTGAGCGTTATTAAGAATGAGAAATTATGGGTTGCTGAAGAAAAGGGGAGGCAAAAGGGAGTCGAAGCAACCCACGAAATGTTGAGAACACTTTAGTTCTGTGCCTCTCCCTCTAGGGTCACCCTATTATTTGCTCAGGAAGGCCTGGGGACCCCTCCTGGTGATACTCACCCAGCTGTGTGGGTCACATCCACATGTTCAGTGCTGGGTCTCTGTTCAGTACTCAGGCCCAGCAGTGCTACACCCGCTGGTGCTCCAGTATTAAGCCTTGGCCCTCGTGTATGCCAGGCACGTGTTCCATCCTCCGAGCTGCCTCCCCAGCCCCTCGGTGATGTTTTTAGTGCTTGCTCTTATTGCTGACTATAAATGCACTGAAAATCTACTTCCAAGTAGTAATACCATGCCATTTCTCTTTTAGCCAGTTACCTCTGTGTTTCAGCAAAAGGATAATATCTCTGTCCTAAGCTATGAGGATTATGTAAGATACGCTTGGAAGAAATTAAGTAGTCCCCTAGCACTTAGGAGCTGCTCATTAAATAGGAACGGTTGTTTTCTTTATCATGTCACCTGAGCAGCTTTTCTTCGCAGAGAGGGTTCTAAATGGGAACTTCAGGAACCACCACAGATGGGGTTCTGAGAGGGGTGCTCTAGAATTCCTATTTTTAATGCCTTCCCTCCCACACATAGGAACAGATTTCTTGTCTGATTTAGTGATTAAAATATCTTCTGCTCTTTTTGGGGTAGTCTTATTTATCTCTCCCAGACAATTGTTTTATTTGAATTAAAGAGTTCTCTGGGGGCTGAGGAGAGGAGAGTGACACTCAGTTTTCACATAAAAACCAATGATTTTCCCCCTGTTCATTCATGTATCTAGTCAACAGATATGTCGTTAGAGATTGTCTTATTGTGCTGAGGAGTCGGGGAACACGGGGAATCCAAACTCAAGGTGCACAGGGAGCAGCTGGCAGTGATGGGAGTCCCCTCAGCTGAGGAGTGTACTCAGGGGTACTCGCTGTGAGGAGCGATTGCACGAATGCCTGAGGGTGAGGGGGAGATATTTGGGTAATTTGGAAGGATGAGCTCCTGGCAGCCTGGGGTTTGGGGTGCTCTGAGGGGGAGAGAGCAGTGCCGCTGAGTGGAAGAGTAAGGGTTTGTGGAAGCCAGAGGCAAGAAATAGGCCTGAAAATGCCCTGTGAAGGAGTTGGCTGCTGCTAGGTCTTAAGAAGGAAAAATAACGCAATCAGGCCAATACTTTGCGTGCTTGACACTGGTGTCGGGGTAGAGGGATAAATAGAAGCTGGAGGTAGAGAACTATTGGGGGCGGGGAGGCCCTGCTGACAGTCTGTGGGACTCCCACTGAGATGTGAGCTGTGGAGTGGGGGTAGCAGAGACGCAGAAACCCTCACTGTTACTCAGGAACCAAACAGGACAGAGGCAAGGGGGCAGGCAGTCTTGGCAGACTCCCAGAGTGCTGCTGGGGCCCTGACTAGTGTAGCAAGGACGTCCGAGTTCTCTGTTTTCAGCAGAGCCCCTTCCCCACATGTTCTGGGAGAAGAGTCTTAGTCCTTTTCCACTGTGGCTCCACTTCCTGGTCTAGCCCATGCTTCTGAACAGCTTCACCCTTTCAAGACTCACCATGCAGGGCTGGAGCAGTAGCACAGTGGGCAGGGCGTTTGCCTTGCACGCGGCCAACCCGGGTTCGATTCCCAGCATCCCATATGGTCCCCTGAGCACCGCCAGGGGTAATTCCTGAGTGCAGAGCCAGGAATAACCCCTGTGCATTGCCAGGTGAGACCCAAAACGCCAAAAAATAAAATAAAATAAATAAAAAGACTCACCATGCTGGCTTGGTACTTGGCTGCTTCTGTTTTCCTTTCTTTGGCGGGTGGTGGGGGAACGTTGTTTGTTTTGGGGCCACATCCGTGCTGTGGGTTTACTCCTGGTTCTGTACTCAGCGTGGGGATTTAACCCGGTTTAAACCCATATAAAGGCAAGCCCCTTACCCATTCTACTATCTCTCTGGCTTCGATTCTGTTTCTCTTACACATGTTTCCAGGTCTCTAACCCTGTTGGAAACCCCTCAAGGACCAGAATGTGCTTTAGTCCTATTTTGTGAGCACACAGTGATTCGGACTCAGGAAGGTTCATTCACCGACTTGACACTGTCCCTTGTTTTCTTTTCAGGTTGGGAGAACAGTGTGTCCCAAAGAAGAACATCTTTTAACACCTAGTCATTGGGGATGATAGTAGATTCCCAATGGAGGTTCCCCCAGCAACCCAGCTCGGTGAGACCTTTGTATTTGAGGGTGGGTTGGCGATGCAACAAGATCTTTTCCCAGAGGAGGACCTGGGGGACCCTTTTCTTCAGGAAAGGGGTTTAGGGCAAATGGCTGTTATCTACAAGGAGATCCCTCTTGGGGAACAAGACGAGGACCCCGATGATTATGAGGGCAATTTCAGCCTGTGCTCCAGCCCCATTCAGCATCAGACTTTGCCCCCACTAGACAGATCCCAGGATGATGAAATATTTGACCAAACCTTCCTCCCCAAATCAGACCTTAGTCCATTTCAGATTATCCATGGTGGAGGAGAACCCAGTAAACAGGATGGCGAGAAGGTAGGCAGGGTACACTTGGGACCTCGCGAGCCTCGCAGGACCGCACAACCAGCCAAGCCCTATGCGTGTCGGGAGTGCGGGAAGGCCTTCAGCCAGAGCTCGCACCTCCTCAGGCACCTGGTGATCCACACCGGGGAGAAGCCCTATGAATGCTCCGAGTGCGGCAAGGCCTTCAGCCAGAGCTCGCACCTCCTCAGGCACCAGATAATCCACACCGGGGAGAAGCCCTACGAATGCCAAGAGTGTGGCAAAGCTTTTCGCCAGAGCTCAGCCCTCGCGCAGCACCAGAAAACCCACACCGGGAAGAGACCTTATGAGTGCAGGGAATGTGGGAAAGATTTCAGCCGGAGTTCAAGTCTCCGAAAGCACGAGCGGATCCACACGGGAGAGAAACCTTATCAATGTAAGGAGTGTGGGAAATCCTTCAACCAGAGTTCAGGCCTGAGCCAGCATCGGAAAATTCACACCCTGAAGAAGCCTCACGAGTGCGACCTCTGTGGGAAGGCCTTCTGCCACCGGTCCCATCTCATCCGGCACCAGAGGATCCACACGGGCAAGAAGCCCTACAAGTGCGAAGAGTGCGGGAAGGCCTTCAGCCAGAGCTCCAACCTCATTGAACATCGGAAGACCCACACCGGCGAGAAGCCCTACAAATGCCACAAGTGTGGGAAAGCCTTCAGCCAGAGCTCCTCCCTCATCGAGCACCAGCGGATCCACACGGGGGAGAAGCCCTACGAGTGCGGCCAGTGTGGGAAGGCCTTCTGCCACAGCTCTGCCCTGATTCAGCACCAGCGAATCCACACGGGCAAGAAACCCTACTCCTGCAATGAGTGCGGCAAGGCCTTCCGGCACAGGTCGGCCCTCATCGAGCACTATAAGACCCACACCAGAGAGAAGCCCTACGAGTGCAATAAATGCGGCAAGTCCTTCCGGGGGAGCTCACACCTTATTCGACATCAGAAAATTCATGCTGGGGAGAAGCTATAGGAAGCAGCCTGTCAGGCTGTCCCGGGTGGCGCCCTGGCCAGACTGCTCGAGTCTAGGACCCCCAGTCACCTTCCTGACGCAGAGCTGAAGGGGAAGGTGCCAGACCCAAAGCTCCCCGCACACGTACTGGCAGCAGGGCCCGCGTGGCTCCAGCCAGCTGTCCTCCGTAGGCTGACTCAGCACAAGGGTGAGGCGAGGCAGGGGCAGGTGATGAGGCTTCAGGAATCGAGGTGCTCCAGAGCTGGCTTGAAGTTTTCTCATTCTCACATTTGACTTAAATTTCACCCTATAATTTGCTTTTTCCAGAATCCAGAAGGAAACAGACAAACCCACAGGGAAGAAGTTGAATTAACATCTTGTAGATGTCAGGTGACCTCTTTAACATTAGGTTGCAAGTCGGGTACTTTTTATGGAAATGGTGCTTTACAGTCCAAATCCACAGAACAGAAGTAGCTGTCTCCGCAGTCAAGCACAATCCGCTTGGCTTGGGTATGTCTCGGGACAGCCAAACGGGTCTCATGGAATAGAGGGAGGTCTGGAAGGGTTAGTTCCGGGGCTGGGGGTGAGCCTCTTTTTGCAGTACAGGGGCTCAAAACCAGGGCCTCTCCCATACAAGGCCTGTGCTTTGTCAACCTCGGAGCCTCCTGCCTGTCCCGGGCAGTTGCTCTCTCTCTTCCCACTCGGGGTTGGAGTGAAGGCAGTTCTGACACGTGGCTCTTTCCCAGCGGGATAGGGGTTTGGTCGTGTGAGGCGGAGAAAACAAGATGCCCAGTTCTGGCTCCACCCAGACACTGGACCCCCTGGCCCTCCAGAAGAAACAGCCACAGTCCAGGGACCTAAAGACCGAAGCAAGCCCCACCTACTAGGGCCTGTTTGTGACCTGCACGATCTGTCACTGCTGTTCATCTTTCAGTGCCAGGAGGTGTGGGAAGCAGGATGTGTCTCCATCATAGGGCCCAGGCGGAAGTCCCAGCTCTTGCTCCCTCCTTCTTGTGTGACCCTGGGGGAGCCCCCAATTCCATGTACCCCTCTGTGGGTTGAGGAGAAGGGCCTGGTTGCACGCTTGAGGGCTGGTGCAAGGCCCCTGTTCACAACCTAACTGTGTATAAATACACTCTGTCAGAGACCCAAAGTGACCCCTGCCTGACCCTGGAAAGCTTTCCCATAGTTCCAGAGACAGGGGACTCGCAGCAGACCCTTATTCCACCAGAGGACCCTCTTACCCTAATGCTTGTGACATCCCATAGATTCCCTGGAAGCTACTCCAAGTCTCCCCTGGGCAGCACTTCTCACTGGACCTGTCTCTGCTCTACGGCTGCCCACTGGGGTTTGCTCACCTGGGGGCTACTAAGGAAGTACCAGGATCAGTGCACAGAGTGTGTATTCACAGCTCCCCAGGGGAGCACAGGTTGTGAGCACTGCCCTGACGGGTGTCAGGCCTGTGTTCTAGACTACAGGGCCGGAAATTGTTCCCGTCCCTCCAGGACTCAAGGCAGCAGGAGTCCGGGCTGATAGGTGCTAGTCATGGTTCATGTCAGGCTGCGGTGTGGTGGTGGTGATGGGCTCCCAGGGGAGGTTCTCTTGTGTGCTGATGTTCCCTGTGCTAGTGGAGGGACAGGTTAGTCTGAGCTACTTTGAAGTTCCCATAAGTTTAGGGCTGAAACCTCTGGTCATTTTAGAATTCCAACTTGGCAATCAGATGTAGTTTTACTAAATAAAAAATGGGAAGTCTATGTCATTGAGTGGGGCACAGTAGGCCTGAGAAGTTTAGTCATTATTTTTGTATTAATTGTAGGGGCCCATCTTTGGGGGCCAGTCAGTCCATGTGGGCCGACAGAGTCACTCTAGGCAGTGCCCAGGGGGCCATGCAGTGGCGACGCACATACAAGGCATTTGCCCTACCCTGGGGCGGCACCCCGGCCCTGACAGCAGGCACGCTAGGCTGGGGGGAGCACAGAGCCGCGTGGTGAGAACACAGCCCTTCGCTGGTGAGTATGTGGAGCTTTTTTGTTTTGTTTTGTTTTGTTTGGGGACCACACCCGGCTATGCTCAGAGCTTACTCCTGGCTCTGTACTCAGGGATCACTCCTGGCAGACTCGGGGCACCATATAGGGTGCCGGGGATCAAACCCAGGTTGGCTTTGTGCAAGGCGAGAGCCCTCCCTGCTGTACTATCTCCAGCCCTTGAATCTGTGAAACGTTGGACGCGGCTCCAGGGTCCTGCCGCACCACCAGCCAGACTGGCCAGATCAGCTGGTGCCCAGGATGGCTGCAGGTGGCCATCAGCCGTTTACTGGGAATGGAAAGAAAGTGCCAAGCACCCTGCTTGGCATGGGCGGGACAGCAGCCCTTAGACCTTCTTCCTGGGCAACCCCCATTCCTCCTCAGCCTTGTCCAGACACGGCCTCCCGGGGCAACTCTTTGCTTCCTTCTGTGTCGCTCCCGCCCAGCTTCGCCAAATTGATCTTGTCAGAGCCTCTCAGCACATGCCCCCGTTCTCCTCACACCCAGCCTTCAGGAGCGTTCTTGCTCGTTCCAGCCAGCCTGGCCCATCGCTTCGAACCAGCCACATGGAATGCAGATGCCCAGGCGTCCTCTCCACGCCCAGCTTCTCTCCACTCATTTTATGCTCTTCCAGTATTTAGGAACACGCACTTTCTCCTCCCCCAACCCCCAGAGCTCCTTTCCTTAACAGTTCTTGTGACACCAGGATTTGGACCACCTTTCTGAAGCACTGATGGATTCTCACAGAACCATGGTTAAAAAAAAAAAAAAACAGGCACTTTTCTCTTTCGACAGTGGGAGCGGAACCTCATTCCTCCTGCTCAGATTCTTTCAGTTATAGTCTCTCTCTCTCTCTCTCTCTCTCTCTCTCTCTCTCTCTCTCTCTCTCTCTCTCTCTTTTCTTCTTGGGTCACACCTGGTGATGCACAGGGTTACTCTTGGCTTTGCACTCAGGAATTATTCCTGGTGGTTCTCGGGGGAACCATATGGGATGCTGGGAATTAAACTCGGGTCGGCCGCGTGCAAGGCAAACACCTTACCTGCTGTGCTATTGCTTCAGCCCCTATAGTCTCTCTTTTAAAACTCATTTAAGTTCTCAGTGTAGTGGAAAAGAGATCATACTTCTATTATTTTAATTGCCCTTGAATTTAGTTGTCTGCTTTTGTGTGCATATATATATATATATATATATATATATATATATGGTTTTTCTTTTTTTCTCTTTTTTTTTTGCTCTTTGGGTCACACCTGGCAATGCACAGGGGTTACTCCTGGCTCTGCACTCAGGGGTTACTCCTGACGGTGCTCAGGTGACCATATGGGATGCTAGGAATCGAACCCGGGTTGGCCAAGTGGAAGGCAAACGCCCTGCCCACTGTGCTATCTCTCCCGCCCCAATGTTTTTTCTTTTTATAGTAGATGTTGAGTCTTATAAAACTCCAACTCTTGCTTTTGTCTACTAGTTAGATTTTATCAAATAGTAAGTTTTCTGTTATTTCCACCCCGGCTTACTGGTTTACATTTCTGAGGTTATTTTGATATAGTTAGTAGCACTGCACTGTAGCACTGTCCTCCCGTTGTATTTTAAAATATTTTAATAAATATGCACTTTGGTTTATGAGTATTTTTTTCTAATAAGGCTTTTTTTTTTTTGGGTCACACCCAGCGATGCACAGGGGTTACTCCTGGTTCATGCACTCAGGAATTACTCCTGGCCGTGCTCAGGGGACCATATGGGATGCTGGAAATCGAACCCGGGTTGGCTGCGTGCAAGGCAAATGCCCTACCCGCTGTGCTATCACTCCAGCCCCTCTAATAAGGCTTTTTTCATACTCCATAAATTCTACATGTGACTTTTTTTGGTTACCATATTAGAAATTTCCTTATGCCCAGGTGCTTTTCTTGAAAAAAAAATTTTTTTTGGAGGTACACTTCAGGCAGTGCTCAGGACTATTCCTGACAGTGTTCAGGGGACCATACATGGTGCCAGCAATCATGGTTGGTCACATGCAAGGCGAGTACTTTAACCTCTATACTTTCTCCCTGGCCCCATTTTATGCTTTTGGGGGGCTATATCCTGGGGTGCCCGCATGCAGAGAATTCACTCTGGTCTGTTGCGCTTTCTCCCTGCCTCCTGGATATTGTTATTCTTTAAAAAATGTTTCCAAGTGATAAATTCTTAGGTCAGTACTATTATTTCTTACTGTACTGTGGTGTCAACATTCCTAAGAGTTCATTTCACATTGTTGGGCCTGAATACGTTATCAGTTTTTATAAAGCATTTGTGTCCGCTCAAAGGTGTTTTTCACTCCTTCAGTTCTATTAACTCAGCTTTAAATATGACTCGATGCTCTTCATAACTGTTTTATCAAGAGTGAGATAGCAAAAAAAAAAAAAAAGAGTGAGATAGCGCCGGTGCTCGCCTTGCGTGCAGCTGACCCGGGTTCAACCCCCAGCATCCCACACAGCTCCCTGAGCTTGGCCAGGAGTCATCCCTGAGATCAGAGCCAGGAATCATCCCGGAGCAGAGCTGGGTGTGGCCCAGAAAACCAAAACAAACAAAAAAAATTAAAAATGATTTTATGCCAACTCATACTTGCTCTAACTTCTGTTTGCTTCAAAGTTCTTAACCTGGAGTCCATGGATTGCCTGAGTCTGCTGTGGCGTCTGAGCATGGAGAGTTTTAGAGGTCATGGGCCTGAGTGACTGGACAAAGTGGAACGGGTAGATGTTGAGTGACTTGTTCTCACGGGGCCTGTCGCAGTCACTTCATCTTTGGTTGCACAGAACCAACCCAGGTTCGATCCCTGGATCCCATTCACCTCGTTTTTGGAGGGACTCTTTGACTCCCCCAAATAGGTAATGCTCATTTACCTGATGTAATCATAGTCTTAATTTTTTGTTTTTGTCTTTATGAATTTCAATTTCACTTAAAATGTCTCCTTTAATCTATGTTGTTTATTAGTGTGCTGTTGTCTCATATCCTTGCTGAGAAATA